TAGTATTACGCGATAACTAGCATACAAAAATCTGCGCATCTGCGCTTGAAATTCCCAAAATGACGCGATTTGAGAGAGAGTTATCACGCCAGCCGGATGCTAGGTACAGCCCACTCGGCGGAGCAGATGATATGCGGGAGAGAGGGGGAGGCCATTTTTTTTTTCTCTCTTTTTACCCTTTTCACCGCCGCTGGAAGGTATTTACGAAAAATACGTAATGTCACATATCCTTTTTTTTTTTTTTTTTTTTTTTGCCTCACGTACATTTTCTCGCATATTCCAGGTTGAAATGTTTTATTTTTTCGTCCCGCATAGCAGATAAGAAATCCTCGTGACTGAGAACGCAGAGGAAACAGAAAACGTCTATAGAAACACTTCGATGTGTTGACGACGTCATTACACCGGTGAGCTCAGGTGACGGAGACTGCCGTCTCCTCGGTGTTTTCCTCCTTATAAGCGTCCACAAGGAACTCGTGTAGGCAAGTTTCCTCACACAAGCCATCAAGCTTTGCGATTTTAGCCATGTTCGCATAAAAAAAAAAAAAAAACGCGGTTACACGTTAATTTTGAATACAGCCGCCAGACTGCCTAATCTAACAACCATACACAAGTTTCTGCAAGGATTCTACGATTTCAATGCTGCTTTTTTTTTTATAACGGTGAATGCATACACATTGCTTTCTTCAGTTTTCCTCGCTTGGAGATCCGGCAGTTTCTTACAGTCGTGTTATTTTGTTCCCAGACTAAGTACACACAGCCTCGTCTTACGTTACGTATATGTCGCCGAAACCTCAGTGCCTCAGATGGCGCGTACCGGGCTATGTCCTCGAACTGGTGGCCACGCTTAATATGAAGCAAGAATTTCCCGGTGACTTCTACTTAAGCTTTCCAAACGCAACGTAACGTTAGAAAAGGGGCTGTGGGAACCAGCTTTTATTCGTATGGATTATGTCGAAAAACGAAAAAGCCCATTTGCTTCCATTATTTCTATTTTGTAGGAGTAGGAAGACGCACCGCGTGTATGAAACGGGTGTTTGCTGCGCTAAAGGGACCCAAAAGTTCGTGAATGTGACTCACCAACCTCTAAAAAAAAAATCATTAAGTGTGTTTGTTTACTGTAAAAGAAACACAAAAAAAAAAAAAACACGTTTGACACAAGAAAAAAAGAACTCCATTCCTTTAACGTTCGCGGTTGTAGCTCGGAGCAGAAAACGAGTTTTCCGCGATAACCAGCGGATAAATTATTTAAAACTCGAGAATTAACTTCTTTTCTTTCCTAATATTCAGCCTCGTGACACATGTAAAAACAAAAGACGTGTAGCGTGCCGGCCAAAGAAGCCATAGCACTTTTTTTTAGATTTTATGTCATAAAACTTAATTCTGCTTCTGTGTGTTACTCCTTAGGCTCAGACCGCCCCAATACCGTATTTTCTAGAATACACATGTAACGCTGCGCGTAGAACATTGGGTCGTTCATAAGGTGATGGGATGTCAAGGTGCCAAATGATTATATGATTTTTGTTCAAGCGCGGGCCGGGATTGGGCTTGAACAAAAACAAATTCGGGCCGTGCCTCGGCAGTCGTGTGCCAGAAATTCTAAATTGTTGACAACAAAAAGCGTGCTCATCGATCTTTTAGGTTCAATGAAATCAAAAGCCAAGTGTAAAGTCACTACGCCACCGTTAAAAACAAAAACAAAATAACAAAAAAAAGATGACTTGCAATTAAAAAACTTCGCGTGGATAAAAGGAAACGTATGGATTCCACCAGCTTAGTGGGAGAGTGCCCGCTTCATGCTTGGACGGTTTTTAGGTTAAAGCCTGCAAACTTTTTTTGGGCTCATCTTCATAATCTGTTGGTCCCAGGGCAGGCACAAGCTCATATTTAAATGAAAATTGACGGACTCCAGCCGTGCTCGGGCTTGTGTCTAAAAATTCTGTCGGGCTCGGGCCGCGCCCGGCCCGTGACTCTACCGGGCCGGGTCCGGCCGGGCCTAGAAATTCCGGCCCGTGTAGTGCTCTAAAGCGCGAAACACATGTATGACGAAACAGTCCTTTCTGACGTCCGATCGCTGTTCCGGCGAGAGGCAACTGGGATTTTGAGACAAACGTTTTTGCAACTCGGTACGCTCAAGCCACGGCTCGCTAGTTTGGTGACATCGCTAGCAAATCCGTTATCCTTTCATCAGACGCTGGCAGTAACACTGGCGAAGAAAGGCCGAAGAGTCACGCAATACATCATTTGAAAATTACCCAAGCACCTCGGGAAATGCTAGAAATGTGTTACCTGAAGGAACGTGCCATTCGTAAATTTTCTTTAGAAAAGTCTCTGTTGCAGGCGCCAGCACGTGTAACTACTCTTGTAACATGCATTGAATAATTTAGCAAAAAAATATCTATAGACCATTCCATAAAAGCGCTTCTGGTCGGCGCCATTTTCAGGGCTCGTGCGTTAACATGCGCGCGCTGGCCCCTGAACTAAAACATCGAGGGTGTGATTCTCGTAAACAATGAAATGCATGGAATGTAATAAACCGCATTTGTGTAGGCCAGATGGCTGGTTACTGTTCATCAAGATCGTGCTAAAATGACACTAAAAAAAACTACGCAACCACTGAGCCAAACAACAAGGTGCAATGAAAGGCGCATAAAATACACACAGACACTATTCATCTTCGAATAAAGAATATTTTCTTGAAGACACAATAGTGCTCGAAGTTCAGAAAAGCATCATAAACGTTTTAATTGAAAATAAGTTACCAAAAGTTACTCAATGAAATATTGTACCCATATTTTTGTTAATATATATTTGTTTTACTGTGTGCGTAGAATGCAACGCGCTCACTCTCACCCCCCGAGTGCACGCAGGAAAAAAAGTAAATCTAAGTGTGTGCGTATTTTTTTTTCTAATAATGTTTTAGTTTTGCAGAGTTTCCATGAGCTGTAAGTTTCCTTGCCTGCCCTCAACGGCATTAATATTTTCTTGGTTTTAAAAAGCTTTTCAGCCCTATATAAAATTTCTCCTTTCTCAGCAATAGAATAAAATAAATATGTTTTCACCAGATCTTCTGCGAGAGAACACCGCACGCCAACAACTTGACAAACCAGGGAATGAATCCCTCGGATATTAATGGAGCGCAACACCTGCTTCATAAACCTCTGTAATACCAGACACGAATAGCAATGTGCCGGACGTCATGTCTAAACTCAGACTTGAACTTTGTTTAGACATTTAACTTCTTGTTTTCAGCAGATCGGCTGCGTGAGTGGAACTCTGAGAGTAGCTCGAGCTAGATTCGATGTCCGAAACTAAAATAACGTTTAAGGGGAAAAAAACATATCACTGAAGCAATTGTGTGCAACAAATGTGACTGCGCCAAATGTCGAATATAGTGCTAGAATGTGCACTATTTTTCTCAATATTATTAGCGCTCCTCTTTGGACGGATGTCCTACTTGTCAATCCGGCTTGTGTCGTCTGCGGTTGCCGCTCTTGAAGCTGTTCCAGCTGCAGAAGGATACTCAACTCGCAGCATGCGGCTATACAGTGTTCCGAGCATGAGTGAGAATGTTTCACGTGGGACGAGTTCTCTCGGCGCACTGCTCGCGCAAAAGCACCTTGACGTTGTTGGCCTCCACTGCTGCGGGGGAATGCTTTATTTTTTCTCCCACGAAAACAAGGGTTAAAAAGAAGCTTTTTCTGGCACTGTTCCTACAACCCACCGTGGATCACGGATTGCTACTCGTACCAAAGGAACTTTTAATTGTAAGGCTGTGAAAAAAATATCTGGATCCTTCGCTCGGCTGCCCGAGTCACTCGTCCGCCTGCCCGCAGGTGACGTACGCGGGTAGCGAAAAGTATGAATTTTTCATTGTTGCCAGTACAAAGTCGTCTCCTGGAACCCTCGCGGCCGGCGGAACCTGAAAATTCTGTAACTTTACGGAAAATTTTTATTTTATAAAATGCTTTGATTATCAGTTGAGAGAGGGTGTTCCTGTCCACCGTTGCCTGTTTCCTCCTACCCCATAATGAGGAGGATCTTCTGCCTTGCAGAATCTCGAGTCTGGTCGTCGGCCTTTAAGGGGCTCGTGTCGTAGAAAATCGGTGGCGTGGCAGAGAAGCCGGCGTCGGCGGCGTGACGCGAAAGTCCTGATTGATCGATAGGGTCATGACGTCACAGTCACATGACCTCGCGCGGGAATTTCGAACAACCCACAACGCTCACGTGAAACGTGACGTCAAGTTTGGAATGAAAGTGATTAAAAACATGACACGTAATGCGAACTAAGTGTTGACGCATGTCACAAATGATTTCACTTTATAAAGTAATTAATTTGCCTTAAAAAATTGAAAAAAAATATAGGTGGGATTCGAACCCACGACTTTTCGGTTGCGACCCAGACAGGCTGCTACTGACTAGGCCATGACCGACCTCACTTAAGCGTTGCACGCATGCGTGGCGCCGCCACAACTGTAGTCCACAGGAGGCAAACCGCAGTACAGGAGACAGCCCGTCCCTTCCCGTGCTCCCCTCGCGCCGACACGCAGAGTCGACGGCAGTTCCCGGGATATGCATGCCGCAAGCGGCGGCGTAACATATAGCTGAATTCGCTTGTGGGGATGTTGGAAATAAGGAGTAAATTATCAGATTTAATGGGTGTGTTTCAGTTAATAACGCGGACATTACACCCCTTTTCAAAAGTCCGCGCCGACGCCTGTCCGCCATTGCTTGCTCACACACTCTGAGTATGTATTGGACACGAGCGGTGACGTCAGCGTTCGGCGATGACTCGGATCCAATCAGGCGCCTCGTAAGCAAGCAATGGTGACCACCAATGTTGCTCGATGGGAAAGTGTCTATTATCGCGCTTTATTAGTACACTGATGTAAGTATCTCATTGTGTATCGAATTTTAAAAATATTTTTCAATGCCATGCGTGATGGTTACGCGGAAGAATGACTGACCACCAAAAACGTGTGTCGTTTCGAACCGACCATAATTTAATCGCCTTTTCTCGCTACGGAACCGCGCGGTTCGGGGCGTCGTTTCAAGGTATACGCTTGGACATAAAACTTGGTGAACATTCCTAGTGCCAGTATCCACTGAGGGGTCGAAAATAAAATAGCTCCGGTCGGGAATCCGCAGTCGTAGAACAGGGGGATGGTCATGTGCACACCGACAAAGGCGATGTGGAAAATCTGCAGACCGGTCAGGTATTTCTTCCACCACAGGTACGGCCGAACACCGGGTCCAAAGGAACAAAGAAAGTAGTAAGTGTACATTATTATGTGGATGATACCGTTTGCGCAGAGAGCCATCATTGCCTGACCCCCACACGCGAAGTTAAACCACACCCAGCCGTTCAAAACAACGAGAAAATGGTGAGAGACGTGCAAAAGTGTGACTTGAGAAAATCTCTTAGTAGCGACGGAAAAGACAGTGTCCATGAAGTCCGCAATCCTGACAAAGAAGTACCACCAGCACAGGCGAAGGAGGGTCATGGAGTTTTGGTCTCTGGAGTAACTCATACCTTGACAAAGCACACTGAAGCCACCTCCGAGGTAGGAATGACGGAAGAACTGCACGCAGAAGAACACATTCGCAATCACCTGGCACAAGTTGTAGAGCGTGATGACGGTCTTGAGGTCGTACGGCGGGCGATTCCTCATCCATCGTGGACCTGCGACCTTGACGACGTAGAGGTAGCCCAGGGACACTGGCAAGACGAAGCTTAAGTCCGCCGAGAGGCCCCATCCTGCTATTCTAGGGTCCCTCGCGGACATGGCGTACTGATATTTTTCATGCATACCAGCAATCAACTGCCATGTTACCGACGTCATTTCGAGAAGTAGAAGAAAAAGTCGTTCCTATAGAAGGAGTTCAATCTCCTCCCACAGACGTCGTTCCAATTCAAGAACTAGAATGTAGTTCGGCTCCTGCAAAAACAGCCCTCGGACTAGCGCAAGGAACAGACTCGTTGCAGCCAGCCTTAGGCCTGCTAGAATCTGAATGACGACCTCTGAATCAAAGAAAGCCGCGGGGGAGGGGAACGAGGCAAAATTGTCGCTCACTAATGCTTCCTTCTCCTGTAGAAGAGCACGGAAAAGATAAACGCCACTTAGCAAAAGCTACATTCTCCGTCAGACGTTGGATCGGGTTGAAGTGGGAAGAAATAAAAGGCGGATATTTGTTACACCTAACGAGTACTCAGCTCTATTTTCGATAATTTTGTTCCTGGTGTAATTAGACTCCTTAAGAGGCTGCCTTTCACAAGAATGAACGTGTTCTGTTTGGTGGGCTCTACAAACAATTCCAACTTTCTACGAAAAACGATTTAGCGGTGATTCTTGTCAAAAATCAAAGAACGGTATGGCGGCTCAGACTTTTTTTCGGGCGCTTGGGGGTAAGTTTGTGTAATCTGATTCATGTTTTACTCCCTTATGAAAAGCAGTCGTCTTTCTCATTTGTGGTGGTTTCGATGACGGCCTTTGTAAGGTCGAGTACGGCCGCATAGAGGGCGCATATGTGCTAAGCAGGGTGTCGAACCGGAACCGAACCAAACCAAAAACCGGAACAGAACCGTTATTTTTAGCCGAACCGGAACTGAACCGAACCGAAATCGTCGCCGCCATCTTGAAACTGAACCGGAACCGAACCGAAAAAAAATATAACGGTAACCGGTTTAAAACAGTTCAAGGTAATTTATTATTTTATTTTTTGCTAGTATCACAAAATTAACATATGGGAATAAAAAATTGGCGGCTGTATTTCTATTGATCAAATTGTCCTATACAGAATTGCAACGTATGGTAAATTGTGGGTTTTCGTGGGGCTTTTGTATTGGCACTATGATTAACCATGTGTCACGTTGTCATGTGACGTCATGGTGTCAATATATATTGTCAAGTAATGTCACGTGACCTCGTGGCGTCACGTGACTCACTGCGTCAACTCGATTTAATTTGAGGAAGTCACTACATGCATTAGCCTTGTTGATAGCGTGACGTAACATGACATCACGATTTCACACCGAGAGTCACGTGACACCTTGACGTAAGCGGTTTTCATAACACCTAGTCGAGTGCACGGGTTCTTGACAGTCAGCATCGTCAAACATTCGGGTAACGGCTCATGTCAATTACATATGATAGAAGCCCAACTCTAAAAATATCTGAAGCTCCAGCCCAAGCTTTTGCTTTCCAAACCCTAGCCACCTCGGGCATGACTATGATGAACACTGACGGTATATAATTAGCGTCAGATCACGTGGCCGCTTGTTCAAATTGCGAGTTGAGGAGGGGATCGACAGCTGTCTTTTTCCTTTATTTTTTCTGCATCTGCTATTGCGCGGAGAGTAAAACTAACGCATATTTTTGCAAGCTATAAACGTCAGGGGTTACTTCTTAGCAGTATTTATTGAAAGTACAAAAAAATGTAGCAAGACCAATTTTACATCATTGAGGCACCCAAACATTTTTTCGTTGCTGCTGAACTGCATCCGAAAGATGTCGCCGAGAATAGAAGTATTGAAATGACTAAATGCGACTTATTAATATGACGTTCGATAGAACTACATATGTATACGGAAGGAATGCTTTAAAAAAAAATATTTTAGTGACCTCAGGGGGACAGCCGAACCATGGCAGTCGCTGTAAGTCTCACACAAGCGTCGTTCTCAAGTTATTGCCCAAGATTCGACCCCCTCTGTATTTCTCTTAAAAAAGCTATAAAAATATTCCTATACATCACTAAATTCTGCTCAGGATCACTCCCTAATGTTAATAACTGATTAAACTTGGCTTTGCTTTTTTTTTTTTTAGCTAGGCAATGGCAGTTGCCAGAAAGTTAGAGAAATATGGGCATCATTCATCCCCTCAACTCGGAGCCAGAAGCGGCCACGTGGCCTGGTGCCTGTCTTATTCCGCCAACGTTAATAATACCCCCGCGCTGGGGTTGGAACGGAAGAAAACGCGTGCTAGAGCTCCAGGCATTGTTAGAGTTCGCCTATTCTCATTACCGCAGTGGTTGGACACGAGCCACTACCCAAGTGTCCACCGAGGCATTGCTTGTTACGAGCCGATGTACAGTGCTCACGCAGTTCTCCTGTCCAATCCATGAGCCGCGCTCGACTGTCGTGAGGCGGGTGGGTTTGATCCCACAATTACGTCATCAATCCTTGCGAAGGCAAGACTAGAATAAATAGTCTCATTTTTGGCCTCGCAATTTCACCGCGACAAAGAAGCTTCTGATTCAGTGGCGGCCTTTGCGAGTATACTTGGGTCAGACTAGGACCATTATGCCTCTGCAAAGTCATGAACATTCCAACCCGATATCGTTTTATGACCCCTTTAAACTTCACGGGGTGCAAAATAAAAGCAGTGAAGGGTTGCTGTTAACAAGTGAAAACTAAAATGGTCGAATTAGCACACACGAACGGAGGAGACAATTTCTGAGGAATACCATCAGCCTTTCCACTCCGGTGAAGAAGGAAGACCAGCGAAGCTCTACTATGGTGGAAATGAAGTAACTGCCGGCCGCAAGTCGGCAAGCCAGAGTGGAAAGGCTGGAGAGGTTGCCGCCATCTATGCACGACGGCGGCAACCAGATAACCGGCAAGCCGGTTGTCTGGTTGCTGTCGTCACTTATAGATGTCGGTAGCTGTCCAGAGTTTAGTGTCGTCATTGGTTTGCTGACGGACACGATACTGGGGCAACTAGCCCTTAATAGCTCCGCTGTAAAAAGAAGTGTGTGTGTGTGTGTGCGCGCGTGCGTGTTTGTGGGGGAGAAGGGAGGTTAATTTTAAAGACCTACTGTGTTGTAAAAGTTCCTCTTCCCCGCATCTTTGGCGCAGACCAAAAAGCGCTAGCCCGGAAACTACTTTGTGTGCAAAAGCCAGGCTCTTGCCAAATAGCACGTTTTTGTCTTTCCAGACGCTCGCGCCGTTCCTCACGACGATCCACTAAGAATAGTAATACGTGATTTTAAAATACTTGGCTTTCACTGAGCTTGAACGCTATGCAGCATGCATTTTGCGCCATCGAATTCGATTTCCTCAGCAGGAAGAAATCACAATGACTACCAGCCTTTAGTGTGATGACGTCACTTGCATACCATGCTAAACAGTTAAGCTTTCTGGTGAAATGTGATGTTTGCAAAACTAGCAATACATGTCCTAATTGTAAATTTGTGGAATTTTTATAGCAGTCTCGCGATGATATATGGCAGCCTAGAGAAATGTTAGCGCGCATGGCTATTCAAGCATAGGGTTCTAAAGTGAGGGCCAAAACAAGTGCAGGTAGAACCGACTATAACATTAGCCTCCCGAGGCAGTATTTGGCGAAGTTTCGAGCTCATGGAAGCTGATAAAATGTGATTTATACTAAGATTTTAAGAATCTTTTTCTGTCCTTCGCCCTATTTATGTAAAATTATAAATCACATTGCCTGCATTTTTACGCATATCTTTTTGCAGTAGGGCGTTAAGTAAGGGATTGTTTAGAAACATTACGTTAATTATCTCTCTATTTTTGAACATTTCATGTATTTGACTTCCAATCTATTATGTGAGCACAGAGCCCTTTTTGGCGCACCCTGCAACCCGATGTTTCACACTGCCAGTCAGCAAACAGAAAAACACTTTTATGCAGACTCCACAGCTCGCGTAGTTTCGAGTATCGTCCTTCCGCGTCCGTTTCCAGAGGTTATGGGAACTTTATAAAGTAAAATTTATTGATCGTTATAAATATATATTTAATTACTAACTGAATATTTGACAACATAAATAAGTGGCCGACCACCCTAAAGCAATGCCCCCCAAATGATCTGAAAATTGTTCTGCCAATCTTTTCCGTCGTTTCTATCTTCGACAGCCACGTTGTAAGTGATATGGGACAGCCTTACACACATTCCTGATTTTGAAGCTAATTTAAGTAACTATGTGTTCCTCACACATATAACTTCTCAAGCATATAGAAGCCTGTTATTGCTCTTTTATGTGGGGAACATTACTTTTATGGTGTCTGTGGGCTGGACAAAAACAAAGTAAACAAGGTCGCGCGGCGGAACTATGACGATTACGCACGCAAACCGTCAGAAAGTGTCCAATTAAGTAGCTGCCATGTCGAGTAGAACGTGAAATACTATTTCGTTTTACTTTACAAAAAAGAATCTTGGAGGACGCTTAAGCTTCGCCTTTAAAAGTGGAACGCGATAGCCTTAACAGGTCTCGTTTGCATCGCACTCTCATTTGCCACGAAAGCGTGACTCGCGTGGCCTAGTCAAAAGCGACTGACTCGCAACCGAAGGGTCGTGGGTTCATATCCCACCTAAAATTCTTAATTCTTTTCTTTAAGGCAAAGGAATTACTTTAAAAAGTAAAATAATTTGAGACATACGGCGAACTTTAATTCGCATAACATGTCATGTTTTAATCACTCTCATTACACGCGTGATGTTAGTTTCACATGAGCATTGTGGGTTGTTTGAAATTCTTGCGTGAGGGCATGTAGCTCTGACGTCATCACCCTATCGACCAACCAAGATTTTCTAGTCACGCCACCGACATTGGGTTTTCTGCGACATGAGCTCCTTAACACTACCGCGTTAAAGTCATCAATTAGCAAGAGTGATGCTCATTCGCAAATTAAATTGAGCGGCATCTTGTCAAGAACAAACCTCAACAGCCAGGCTATGCCAGCTTCTCCTGTATAAGAAAATGTTCATTTGGACAAGCGCTATTTTGGGCCAGATTCGATCGGAGTGCGAAGGTGCGTATAGATTAGGGTGAACAATTGCGATTACTCCTTGCTGCATGATTAGTCGCATGCATGCGGTACTGAGTG